AGGAGCAGCAGCAGATGCAGCAGCAGAAGCAGCAGCAGAAGCAGCAGCAGCAGCAGATTCCTCTCCTAATTTATCTCGTTGTTCTCCCCATGAGGATTCATCTCCGTCAGCAGTATCAACAGCAGCAACAACAGCAGCAGCAACAGAAGCAGCAGCAGAAGCAGCAGCAGAAGCAGCAGAAGCAGCAGCAGCAGCAGCAGCAGATATAAGTGATTCAGATAGTGATTCTTTTCCTAAGGAAGACTTTGCTGCAGCACCAGCAGCAAATGATTTGCTGCTGCAGCAGCTAAGCAGCTTCAATAGGACGCATGCAACTGCAGCAATGCATGTAGCAGGTGCAGCAGCACCAGCAGCAGCACCAGCAGCAGCACCAGCACCTGCAGACACAGAAGCAGAAACAGGAACACCAGAAGCAGCAGCAGCAGCAGCTGCTGCTGCTGCAGCATTCATCCGCCGCTTTACACAGCAGCAGCAATGGGGGGGCCCCATGGGGCCCCACATTGAGGTACAGCCAAGGGTTGCAGCATGGGAGCAGCAGCTTATAAAGGAGAAGCAGCAGCAGGAGGAGGAGGAGCAGAAGGAGCAGCTGCTGCTGCTGCAGCAACAGCAGCAGCAGCAGCAGCAGCAGCGGAGGACAGCAGGTGATGAGGAAATATCTATTTGGAGTCTCTTAAGCACTGACGCAGCAGCAGCAGCAGATGCTGCTGCTGCTGCACCTGCTACTGCAGCAGCAGATACTGCTGCTGCTGCTGCTGCTGCAGACAGTCCGCCAACAGCAGCAAAGCAGATGGCTTTGTTTCTGCAGCAACATCAGCAGCAGCAGGAGCAGCTGCTGCTGCTGCTGCAGCAGGAGCTGCTGCTGCATTGCCCTCATGGGTATAGCCCATCAGAAGAAAAAGAAGAAAAAGAAGAAATAAATAAAATAAATAATAATAATATAAATAATAATATAAATAATAATAATAATAATAATAATAATAATATAAATATAAATATAAATATAAATATAAATAAAATAAAAAAAGAAGAAAAAAAAGAAAAAAAAAAAGAAAAAAAAGAATTAAAATTAATTGGTGATGTTGGCCATCTAGAGGATAAATTAGATTTTATTAAGGCACATCTAGATGTATGCTGCTGCTGCTGCTGCTGCTGCTGCTGCTGTTGTTGTTGTTGTTGTTGTTGTTGTTGTTGTTGTTGCTGCTACTGCTGATGGTGCTGCTGTTGGTGTTGCTGCTTCTGTTGCTGATGATTGTGCTGCTGCTGCTGTTGGTGGTGGTGGTGGTGCTGCTGCTGCTGTTGGGTTTGTTGCTGACGCATCCTGCTGTGTTGTGCTGCTGCTGTTGCTGCTGCAGCAAGTTATTGTGTATATGAGTACCCTTTTGCTGCTGTTTGCAGGACAGGGATTTGCTGCTGCAATGGGGGCCCCCCAGCAGCAGCAACCAGGAGTAAGGAGCAGCAAACTCCGTTTAACTATTCTTTTCTTTGGGCCCCCCTAAAGGACGGGGCCCCCCCCCTCCCCAAAAGGGGTTGGGGCCCCCCTACAGAAAGGGGGGGCCCCTAAAAGGGTTGAGGGCCCTTTTACAGGAAGGGAGGAACCCTAAAAGGGATGGAGGCCCCCCTACAGTAAGGGGGGCCCAATTAAAGGCATAGGGGGCCCCGCTAAAGCAAGGGGCCCCCCTAAGGGTACCCAACAGAGGGGGCCCCAATACATGCAGAGGCCTAAAGGGTTTCTCTGCTGTTTGTATCAATGCAAGACACAAACACTGTTTTTTTATCAGCTACAATTATTAGGGTTTAGGGTTTAGGGTTTACCATGGGGTTTTGGCTTCATATGTATCGAGGGTTTAGGGTTTATGCCTCTTGCTCTAGGGTTTAGGGTTTCCTATTATGCCAGTCTAGAGCATGAGGGTATAGGGTTTAGTTAGACCGCTACAAAATCGGGGGGGGCCCCGGTTTCCTTGGGGGCCCCTAGAGGCCCCTAAGGAAACCTGCCACTATCTGTGTCTAAACCCCTTCCTTTTGCACCTATTTAATTCCTTGGGGCCCCTCAGGGGGGCCCCTCTCTAACGGGAGGCAACTAAACCCTATTCCAATAGTACTTATTAACTCAGAAGGCACGAGGGGGCCCCCTAACAAAAAGAAACATATGGGGGCCCCCAAGGGGGGCCGCAAGCTTAGACTTTAAAAGGGGGGGCCCCCCTTGAGGTGCCCCTAGGGAGAGAGCACTAATGGGGGCCCCTGAGGGTAGCCTATACAATAGGGGGCCCCTGAGGGGGCCCCAAGGTTATCCTTTACAAAGGGGGCACCCCAGATGGGGGCCCTCACAGGGGGCCCCCAAGGGGTGCCTAAGGGGGGGCCCCCCAAGGGGTGCCTAAGGGGGGGGGGGCCCTAGAAGGGAAGAGAACCCTAGGGGCCCCTCGAGGGGCCCCGTACAAATGGTACAAATAGAAAGAATATAATGGGGGGAAAAGGACATAAAAACAGGGGCATTTGCTGCCTCCTTGCTGTCGCTGCTGCTGTTGCTGCAGCAGCAGCAGCAGCAACTGTTGCTGCTGCTGCTGTGTTAGTTAGCGGCTGCAGCAAGTGTTGCTGCAGTTCACTGGAGCAGCGGCAGCTGCTGGTGCTGCATTGGCTGCTGCCGCCGCAACAGCAGCAGCAGCAGCAGCAGGAGAATTAGGGTTTAGAAGAAGTATCGATGCTCATTAGGTAGAGGGAATTTATATTTTTGTCTAAGGAATGCTAAACCCTCGCCTAGGGTTTCTTCTGCCTTATAACAATAAGAAGGATAATTTTTTATTAATATTTTATATGCTGCTGCTGCTGCTGCTGCATGCATGCCCATATTTGTTACTGCAGGTGTTGCACCATATCCTGTTCCTCCAAGTCCTATAACATACAAACATACGAGGGTTTAGGGTTTAGGGTTTAGGATAGTTTCTAGGGTTTAGGGTTTACAGATTAGGGTTTAGGGTTTAGCGTCAAGCCCGGTAAGAAAAGTTGCAATTAGGGTTTAGGGTTTAGGGTTAAGAGATTAGGGTATATAGGGTTTATCATGAACTCTTGTAAGAAAAGTGAAAATTAGGGTTTAGGGTTTAGGGTTTAGGGTTTAGGGTTTACCTGTACTCCTACTCTGCATCTCCATGACCTCATTAAGATGATCTTTTATATCTTCTACAACTCTTAATAAATCAAATAAATTACGTAAACCCTTCAATCGTTCTTGGACCTAATTCATAAAAAAAAAAAAAAAAAAAAAAAA